TTGGAATATTTTGGTTCGATTCAACTGTTTTTGATTCGGTTCAGCCCTCTTTCAGTTCGGTACAATACTGATTTTTCAGTTTTGGATCTCCATTTTTGAGTTGCAGTTTAGTCTTGGTATCAATGTCACAGTCGTCCAAAATTACAAAAAACTTGAACATAAATTAGATCAAACAATTAAGGAGCTTCTTAAAAACTTTGGATAATGCTCCTAGTCAAGGTACAGGTTCGGTAACTTTGACGAGTACAACTTCCCAGCCTAAACTTTGTATCTGAATTATTGATTCTGGTGCAACAGACCATATGACGAATAGTAGCTGTCATTTTATCTCTTATAGTAGTTGTCCGAGCAATAAGAAAATTTCTACAGCAGATGGTACCTTGGTAACAGTAGCCGGTCAAGGAGACATCAAGATAAATTCAAACATTACTTTAAAGAATGTACTTCATATACCACGTTTAACTGTTAATTTGATATCGGTAAAGAATTTGATCATAGATTTAGTTTGCAAAGTAACTTTTTCTGATTCTTCTTGTATTTTACAGGACCAGGGCAATGAGAAGATTATTGGACTTGCTAATGAAAAAGATGGACTTTATTATCTTAATGAACTTGTCGGTCAGACTAGTGTTCCAGTCTCCTTCACCTCACAAACTCATCATCCTTCAAGTAAGCTTTTGTTGAATCATTATAGACTAGGACATCCTTCATTTCGAACTCTTAAAATATTGTTTCTCGATTTATTCCAAAATCTTAATCCTGAGTCAATTCACTGTGAAGTTTATGAATTCGCTAAATACAAGCGTGTATCCTTCCCTAGTAATAATAAACGAATATCAGTTCCCTTCTCTCTTATTCATACTGATGTGTGGGGTCCCTCCAATGTTCCAAATGTTTCCAAATTTCGTTGGTTTATTGTGTTCATTGATGACTGTACTCGAGTCTCATGGGTTTATCTTTTAAAACAAAAATCTGATGTTGGTTCTACCATTCAAACATTCTTTTATATGATAGAAAACCAATTCGGAATCAAACCCAAACGATTCCGTTCTGACAATGCTCGAGATTACTTCAATCAAAACTTAACATCCTTATTTCAAAAACATGGAGTCATCCATGAGTCGTCTTGTGTGGACACTCCTCAACAGAATGGGGTGGCCGAAAGAAAAATTGGTCACATCCTCTCTGTGACACGTGCCATTCTTTTTCAAAGAAATGTTCCTAAATCCTTCTGGGGGGAAGCTGTGTTAACATCCACTTATTTAATCAATCGGTTACCATCTGCTACTCTAGACCATAGAACTCCTATGAATATCCTATCAAAATATTATCCTAATTTTCGAACAACAAATAACTTGACTCCTCGAGTATTTGGTTGTGTAGCCTTTGTTCATGTTCACAGTCATCAGCGAGGTAAACTTGATCCACAAGCACTCAAGTGTATTTTTGTCGGATACTCGAACACTCAAAAGGGATATAAATGCTATCATCCTCCTTCAAAAAGGTTCTTCATCTCTGCTGATGTTACCTTTTATGAAGACACCAGCTTCTTTACCTCACCTTATCTTCAGAGGGAGGAACTATTATTGGAAGACAAGGATTTGCCCATTCCCAACCTCACATTTCCTATATCAAATCCTTTACCACCACCCTTAGACACCTTACCAGGACCATCTAACCCTTCTACTACTACACCATTACAGGTTTATTCAAGAAGGAACACTGAAAAAGATAAGCACGTCCAAGAGTCGGAACATATACCTGTAACTGAAATTGACGAGAAAATAATCAATGATGAATCAGACATTATAGTATCTACTAATGATGAGTCAGACATTACAATATCGGCTAATGATGAGTCAGACCTGGATTTGCCGATTGCTTTAAGAAAGGGACTTGTACTCGGTATCTATTGTCTCACTTTGTATCATATGACAAACTCTCAAGTCAGTACAGAAGTTTTATGGTTAACCTTACTCAGATAAATATTCCAAAAACATATATGGAGGCAATACAACATGAAGAATGGAGGCAAGCAATGAATCTTGAAATGCAAGCTTTAGAAAAAAATAAAACATCGGAGTTGGTTACTATGCCTAAAGATATAAGAAAGCTGTAGGATGTTGATGGATATATACTGTAAAGTATAAAGCAGATGGAACACACTCGAGAGGTACAAAGCACGGTTGGTTGCTAAGGGATATACTCAAACATATGGAGTTGATTACCTTGAAACCTTTGCGCCTGTTGCCAAGATGAACATAGTATGAATACTTCTATCTCTTGCTGTAAATCATGGATGAGACATGTTACAGTATGATGTAAAAAATGCTTTTTCTACATGGTGATCTTGAAGAAGAAATTTATATGGAGATTCCACCTGGATATCAGCAAGCAGGAAATAAAGTTTGTAAATTAAAAAAGGCGTTGTATGGATTAAAGCAATCTCCTAGGGCATGGTTTGGTAGATTTTCTCAAGTCATGAGGAAGATGGACTATAAACAAAGTCAATGAGATCATACATTGTTTTTAAAACATTCTGCTATAAGGGGAGTAACAGCATTGATTGTTTATGTGGACGATATTATCGTCACTGGCAATGATAATAATGAGCAAGAGAAACTGAGAAATTGTTTAATCCAAGAATTTGAAGTTAAAGAATTGGGAAGACTGAAATATTTTCTTGGGATAGAAGTAGCCTATTCTAAACAAGGCAWATTCTTATCACAACAGAAATATGTGATTGACTTACTTTCTGAAACAGGAAAGCTTGGCAGCAGACCAATAGGAACGCCGATTGATCAAAACCATAGATTATGTGCATCTAAAGAGAGTCCTCCAGTAAATAAGGAAACTTACCAGAGGTTAGTTGGAAAATTAATATATCTTTCTCATACGAGACCAGATATTGTGGTAAGCCAATTTATGCATAGTCCAAAAGAAATTCATCTTCAAGCTGTGTACCGAATACTTCACTATTTAAAGAACTCCATTGGGAGAGGATTGTTGTTTAAGAAAGGTGAGAAACTCAATCTAGAAGTTTATACAGATGCAGATTATGCAGGATCGATAGACGATAGAAAATCCACTTCTGGCTATTGTACTTTCTTTGGTGGGAACTTAGTGACATGGAGAAGTAAAAAACAAAATGTAGTTGCAAGATCAAGTTCAGAAGCGGAATTTAGAGTAATGGCATTGGGCATCTGCGAATTACTGTGAATAAAAATTATTTTAGAAGATTTGAAGATTCCATAGGAAGGGCCTATGAAACTTTGTTGTGATAACAAGTCTGCCATCAGTATTGCACATAATCCAGTTCAACATGACAGAACCAAGCATGTTGAAGTTGATAGACAGTTCATAAAAGAGAAGTTAGATAGCGGCCTCATATGTACTCCATTTGTACCAACAAATAATCAAATAGCAGATATTCTTACAAAAGGATTGAACAACAACAACTTTGAGCATTTGGTTAACAAGCTGGGAATGGAAAATATTCATTCACCAGCTTGAGGGGGAGTGTTAAATTATAGTTTATTTTATTTTAAAGGTTTCCTATTTTATTTAGGTTAGGGTTTTATTGTTCTAATAGGTAAGTATTTCCTTATCCTAATAGGCAAGAATTTCTTTTTAGTTTCTTCTTTGTGACTGCTATTTATATAGCCTTGTATCAATCATTTGGAGTAATCAAGGAAGAATTATTTTCTTTTCTTATTATTAACACCTTTACCTTCTCCTTATAGGATTATGTCACCTTCTCCTTATAGGATTATGTCAACCTTGTATATTTGTCTATATATATAGACTTTAATAATGAGAATACATCACATTGGATTCTCTCCGACCTTAGTCTCTACAGAAGGCAATACTTCAAGAACTTGGAAGATTTCAAGAAGTCTATTTCGTCGAAAGGACGTCAAAACATTATGGAGGAACTACTAAATAGCACAAAGAATGTCACCATCCCTCAAAATTTTCTACTCAGTATTTCAGAGAAGTTTCAGTAGTTAGTATAAGTGGTTGGAGCCAACCTCTATGTCCCGATGGGCCAACTAGAATGTTTATTTTGCAATTAATTACGAATGAGCAGATCACGTTTTATTAAATGTACTCATGCATGAGCCTTATTTGGGTAATTGGACGAGCATTAATGGGGAAAGAGAAGGGAAAAAGGATTGAAGGTGGTCGAAAATGAAAAGGCAGCAGGGGAGGAGTTAATTCCCCTCGGGAGAAAATGTTAGAAAATGGCCTTCCATCTTCCAGTATCTTCATTTCGGCTGGTGTGGATTCAACTGATGAAAAGTTGGTTGTTTCAAAGAAAGGTGGATAAGTTGTTTCTATTCTCTTATGGAAAAAAAACCAAGCATTAATGATGAATTTAAAGAGTTTTTAGTTCCCAATGCAAGAAGAATTCAGAGCATGTCTCACCAATACCCAATAGCATCTTGGAATTGTGGGTATAGAGGAAGATGATCAAGTATAAATGTAATGCCCAGTGAACTTGGGTTTTGCTTCGTGGGTATCATCATTATTTCAGCAATTGACACTGCCCCTGCAATTTGTGCTAACATTGGAAGCAAGAATCCATTAGATTGGAGATAAAAGTATTGCTTTGGAATTTAAATGGCGTTGGCTGAGAACTAAAATTGGATCCGTGATGAAATATATTTACTTTTCTCATGGACTTGAAAAATCTTTGATGTGGTTATGTAAATATCCATTCCATGATTCACTTTGAAGAATGAAGAGATGAACAGTCATGCTCTCTACAATTTGTGCAGTAATAAACCTCAGGTTCAAACTTATTTCTGTAACAATACGACACATAATCTAAGAAATTAACATGTCATGCATTCAGCTTATACCTTTTTGAAGATTTTATGTAACGTTCTGATTCATTCAATTCATATGATCTTTCCTTGTTTCCTTCTTTGATTTTGCCAACCTGTTCAAGGTGTATTGCATGGAAGATTTTCATGTTTGACACTTATGTTCTTTAGGATTGAACGGCTGGAGTTATTTGATGAATTTGAGGAGTGGCACATGATGCAGGCAAGTTTAAAACCCTTTCGTGTAATGAGAAAGAGGCATGGGCGTCTGAGTTTTCTTTCTTCTTTTCTTGAGAGTAGTTGCTGTGTTGTCAACAAATCAATAGAACTTATTATTTTCTAAACCTTTTTAATTGGATGGTTTTCAGGAGCATTACTGCGTGGCTTATGCAATCAATGATTCCCTGGTACGTTTATTTCCTGGTAAATTTTGCTCTAATATTTTCTTAGGATTCCTTTTTAAGCCGCTTCATGTTCTGGACTCTTTCATTGGCCATATACTCTGAAATGTTATAATCTTCCACATTTTTAATTACATCTAATAACTCTGGTGTTAGACACATTTGATTTAATCATTTCCACTCTGAACATCTTATTCATTCCTCGATCCAATTTGCTTATTCTTATGGTGCTATTACTTTTGGTCCATATTGGAGGGGGGAAAGTTTTATGGGATGATCTTTATCATGATTAATGCTGTTTCTGGCTCATAAGTAGAAGCACATGCACAAGTGGCCTCTTTTTGAGACCCATTTTATACCACTGCTTGTAGACTTTTGACCCTCTAGAGTGGTCACTTTTCTGGCTTGTCATGGATCTGTTTGCCATTTTCCTTTCAATCTAAACATTTTCAGCACTCCTTGTCCAAAATGATTGAATTCATGCAATATGAAAATTTTGTTTTGTTTTGTTTTTTTGTTTTTTTTTCTTTTCATGCAACTGTTACACGATGGCTTTGATTATTTAATGATGAAACTTGGGTGTGTGTTGTAATGTACTGGCACGTAGTGAATGCCTTAGCTAGATATTGGTGTCTCTTTGTCTTCATTTCACTTATAATAAATCTCTGCATCTTCTGTTGCTTTCTCCTTGTATGACCCTCCAGGTGCTTTTTGGGGATTTCGGCTTTCCCGGGGACCAGCACGTGCTCGATCCCCCTCCCCCACCAGCATGAGATGTAAAGAGCTTCCCTCAGGCAGCTGCTGCCTCATTTTTCTGACTCAACTCTTCCAAGATTTGTTGACGAATTTAATACTTGGGAAGGGAGCACGTGCTGTCCACACGTGCCACTACCTACACTAGCTGGGGAGATTGATTATTTGGCAGGTATAAACTCAAAGACAAAGGTATCTTCTTGAGGACTTAGACTTATATTTTATATATATATACATATATAT